ATTGGCACAAACGGAACAAACAAATTGAGGAAGAAAAAAAATTATAAGAGTAAGAACAGGAAGAAGTAACGTATACTAAAAATGATTTGTTTTTACTTCTCTTTTCTTCTCTCTAATATTTTTGCAAAAAGAAAGACCTAAAACATAGGAGAGTAGATATTTTTTTTCCATTATTAAATTCTTCTATAATAATAAAGAAATGACAATATGAAAAAAAGAAACTTTTGCTGTATCTGTTAATAGAAGAGGTCTCTCTACTTTAACTAGTTCCTGTCATTAAAATGAGAGGAAGAATATAAAACTTCCCTACACATATAAAGGATGGTCCAAAAGTTTCGACCCCTCTCTGTAAATTGACGTTTTCTATATGAAAATAAAATTCAGTTGTTTTTTGCAAAAGATTCACTACATAGGAGATGATCCTGAGACTTGATATTTCGTCTTAATTGAACAGAAATCGAAATGCCAGAAAACTTTCAAAAATTTAACTTGGAAAACTGTATTTCGTCAGTATAAGCTTGGATGTATGCGGTGTGCCCACATCGGATAGGCCAAAATGTAGTCCCTGAAGTTCTCCATCGAATGGCTATAATGCGAATTTTCTGTCGTTATTTCCGTGTTTTCAATAATGCTTTTTACAAAAGCGCTGTAACTGTGTCTTCAGCTTTCTCAACGTGCATTTCGATGTCTGTTCAATTAAGACGAAACATCAAGTCTCAGGATCATCTCCTATCTGCTATTTTGTAGAGAATTAAATAGTAAATCTTTTGCAAAAAACTGCGGAATTTTATTATATGTATTTCATATAAAAAACGTCAGTCTACAGAGTGGGGCGAAACTTTTAGACCACCCTTTAGATATCGCCCAAAGATGTTATCCTTCGTATTTTCGAAAATAATTATATATTTGGAAATCAGCATCAAATTCTGAGCAAGATAGTTCATTTTTTATTTCAAAAGGCTTTTCACCTTATGATCTACCTCTTGGTTAACATTGAAAAACTTTTTCGGTCCAATGACTTTAGGTTACACATCATTTAATGCCGAATTTGATGCTGATTACAAATACCCGGTTGGTTTCGCTTCAGAACTTCTGTAGAACAAAAAAACTTACTTTTTCCTACAAGATCTGTCAAGATGCGATATTTTGGTCCTAAATCGGCCGAGAAACCCACTTTTGAAAACCCAGAACATATTCTTTTTGGATATATAAAGATTTCGTCTTATTCATATTATCGAAATTGTAAGGTCCTCAAGGTCAAGTTACGCATAAGTTTTTAAGTTAAAGAGGGAAAGGGGTTCTCCCACCCTGTTTTCTTTACCAGCTTGTACAGGATACTCCAAAGTATATGTTCCATAAGTTTTTTCTCGTTGCGGACTGATAGTTTTTAATTAAAAAATTTCAATTTTTTTCGAAGTTCTCTGTACCATTTTTAAAATTTCATTAGAAACTTCAGTTATATATATGAACAGTTGATTCTAGTATAGTTTGATAGAGGACATTAAATTGTTTAAGGAAGAAAATTCAAAATAATTATCCGATAAAGTTTTGACGTAGAAACTTAACTTTTAGATTCCTCATGAGCTTCAATAGCCTTACGGCTATTTTCACTCGAACCACGGATTTTGGACGAAAGCGGTGAGTACAAAAGTTTCTCAGAATCGAATTCCTCAGTCCCTCACGAGAGCTTTCTTCAAACAATTTTTTTGTTAACGTTTAAACTAAATTTTACCTTTTTTAAAAATTTAAAATTTCGCATTTAGTTTTGAACCCTGAAAAAAAGTTTTTCGAAAACGGACTCCGGAAGTCGATACTGAAGAACTTTTCTTCTCATAGTTTTGGTCCAAAATGCTTCTCTGAAGCCAAACCATGTTCAAGGTCCTGAAGCTCCGGGGCTGTGCAAAACCAATCCTGAAAATTTTTATGTTTTTCGATTTTTGATAATTTTATTCGATTCCGAATGTGGAAGTGTCTATGTTCTACGAGTTTCAGATTTTCTGCACGCTTTCTTCTCGTTCAGAAGATGAGAGAGTATCGTCAAAATTTGAGCGCCTTTTCGCCGTAGTACAGCGTCTCAGTATATTCAGTTTTTAGAAACTGAGTTTAAGAACTTTACAGACAGCAAAGTATTATCCTATAGAGAAAAACATGGAAAACACTTAGATTTGCTCCAAATGCTTCTCTACAGAGAAACTATAGGTAAGATCTTGCAAAAGGACACTTTTGGTCCCAAAAACCATTCTGAAGAACAAACCCGAATTTCTCCGCCAAACCTTGTCCGGTAACGACAACAATCTTTGCATAAATACACCTTGAAGCGCTCTATCGATCAGTTATAAAATCGAGGTTTCAAACCGGAAAGTAAACATTTTATTTATAGTTTAAAACAGATAAAGAAAGCCGCGATTACTACAACTCCGTAAACTTCTAAAATGTTTTCATATATACTTTGAAGTACCCTCTACAATCCAGCAACGTTTGAACCAAATCTGATTGGGGCAAGATTCCTCTTAAGACTGAGAAATACTGATTTCTTTCCCAACTTTGTAATAATATCGTATGATAACAAAATCTAGAATCTCTAAGTGACATCTTTACGTCAATTCAGTTTTTTACGCGGCTGCCCAAGGATAGATTCAAAAATCAGAAATAATGCAAAGCACCTTCATAAGTGGAAAATATTACGTATTAAAATTTACCATTAAAACACGACCTTATCTTGGGGCTTCCCTTCCACCTAACAGGACTGAAATAAATTCGAAAGCTACAAATAACGCTGCTTTAAACATAGATAGTTTTTTCCCCGACAGAAATGGACGCAGTCAAAATAAACTGAACTACATCCGATAGCGACGATAAGTATTCTGGTTTTTTTGTAGATGCATTTCAATAAGTACTTAAGCTGCATATTTAGAATTCTAGAAAATCGATGGTCCATAAGTTGACAAAAATGGAAATTTGGTAACTAAACATTCTAAAAAAACTGTTGTAAAGTAGCGAAAACCAATCCCCCTTCTCTTAACTACACAAACACTACAATCAAACTTCTTCATCATTGTCTTCTTCTCGAACAATAGCGCACATTTTTACAATAAACCTGGGAGAACTATGACATCTTCATTTGCTCAATACATCTTCATTGATATCTTAGCACTAATTTCACTTGTCATCGGTAGCATATGGTCATTTATTATTATATCAATTATCATTTATAATCGTCGTCAATTATACAATATTTCAACTTTACTCATCTGTAATTCCTGTTGTGCATGTATATTTCAATGTTATAATATTTTCGCACTGTATGTTTACATGCTGCGTGCCGATTTAACTAAACCGGATGGTGGTATAAATCTACCAAGCGATCGATTGTGTACAATACGTACATGGCTATTTTTCAGTGGTGTATGTGCTGTCTATTGGTCATACATGTTACAAGCTTTTCATCGTCTAGTTACAACTGTTTTCTATAAAAAACGATGGCTACAAAAAAGTGCAGTATTCTATGTAATTGTTATCATATTACAGTGGATTATGGGTGGCTTAGTCTCTGTACTACCTTTATTCCTCGGTAGGGATTTTTGATCTTTCTCGAGAAAGAAAAACAAAGTTGTCGCTAGGGCTGTTAGCCGACAAAACAATCAACCTGCAGCGCGAAAATTTTTTGGTTAATTGATGGTGGAGGCAAACAAGTCATATTCCATCCGTCTTCTACAGCAGCGGCGTAAAATTCATCAAAAGCTTTTACGAGAAATGAGTTTTTTTTTAAACTTTTCAAACTAAACTTTTTCCTTATCAGCGGTGGTGATGACTCATAAAAGTTTTCGCCGCCTTTGGCGCGGCGTGTCGGCTAATACCTCTAACGAGGAAAGGTCCCTAAGTATGCAATCGCTCTTTCCTTTAGTTTTAGTGGACAATAGCTAATCGGCTGCGCTAAATCCGAATCTAACATCGGTTTGTGCTGCTAGGACTCCAGAGACCAGGTTTCTGGAAAATCAGTTTTTCAGAAACTCTAAAAAGTAATCAAAACCTTTTGAATCAGGCATGATTGTCGACCGCAAATTTCTGACTAAAATGAGATATCTGCCAGCTCTACACGACCTTAGTTTATGGAATTTACAAGAAAAGCCCTAAATGTTCATTGTCAGCTCAAAGCTACAGAAATAAGAAGAAATTAATTTAGGGCTTTTCTTATAAATTCTATAACTTTGCAAAGAAAGGTCGTATAGAGCTGGCAGATATCTCATTTTAGTCAGAAATTTGGGGGCTACAATCATGCCTCATTAAGAAAGGTTCTGATTATTTTTCAGAGTTTCTGAAAAACTGCTTTTTCAGAAACGCAATCTCTGGAGGCCTAACAGCACAAACCGATGTCAGATTCGAATTTAGGGCAGCGGATTACCTATTGTCCACTAAAGCTAAAGGAAAGAGCGATTGCAAACTTAGAGACTATTCATCGTAAGCGCAAAGTGTTCGATTTATGCAAGCGACTTCTTTTTTTGACTTTTTTTCTCTCTATTATTATTCTGCTATAGGATGGTACAGACGTGCGCCTAGTGAATATTTCTGTGTATCATTAGTGGTATCAAGCTGATGCCTTGAGGTTTTCTGCGAAACCTGGGTTTTCAGAAATCCATAACTTTCGTTACGAACTGTATAATTATATATATATCTGTTTTTCTCTTTGAATCATAAGAGAACTAGTCAAGATCTTTCATTTGAGACCGAAATAAAGGCTATGCGAATGGAATAAAGGTCCGAACGAAATGATCATTTTTATTGGACAATCTCTGTTCCACTGAGAAAGTATTTTCCGCATAGGTTTTTTTCAACACGGCTAGAAAGCTGGGTTTTCACTATTGCAATTAGCGTACAAAACTACATCAGAAAAACCATATCTCACGTTTGCGTCTAACTTGTTGTATAAAGAGCTAGAATCCTTGAGAAATTAGTCTAAAGTCTTTGAGCGAATCTAATAGTTTCAACTTTATTTTTAAGGTATGAGCACTGCAACTCAAATTACACTGAATGCCGATCTCTACAATCAGGTTTGGTCATCATCCGATATGAATCCTGATCGTTTAACATCTGAACTCAGTAAATTGTTCACACACAACGATACACAGACTAAACTACATAACTACACCAACACGTATTTCAACTTAGATAGACAACATCTAACTACATCATCGGCATCCTCATCAGGTCAAGGTAGCCTAACGGGATCGGTTGGTATATTCAGTCTTGGTGCCAGTGGTGGTGGTTCATCAAGCTCGGCCAATTCATTACTTGACAATCTAAAACAGTCAACGAAAGACATCTACTCGCTCACCGACATAAAACGTCTCCTAACACAACAACAGTCAGAATTTGAATGGAAAGGTGAAAAATTTTATAGCAAAGTCATTTAACGTCTATAAATTAATTGATCTGNAAGTGGCAATGATATCAAAACAGCTAACTGCTGATAAAACAAATAGTGCTATTGTACGGGAAATCAGCGTTCTCAACAAACCAATTGTCTCTACAGATGCAAACAAACCTTCAACATTTCCAACGGGAACTGTACTAATCTTTACCGGTGTCTCTCTGCCAGCAGTTCCATGGCTTTTGTGTAATGGTACAGCTATTTCTCGAATTGAATATCAACGTCTATTCTCTGTTATTGGTACAAGTTATGGTGCAGGTGATGGCTCATCAACTTTCAATTTACCAGATTTTCGTGGACGTATTCCTATGGGTGTGGATAAATCAAGTAAGACCACACCCAATGCTATAACGTTGGGACGAATTGGTGAACAAGCCACGCAAATTCTCACAGTTGAACAACTTTCGTCGCATGTCCATGAGAATGGTACATTCTATGCAGAAACAGCTGGAGATCATTCACATTCCTACCAAGATCCAGGACATAATCACGGTGGCCAGACAGGTGAAGGGCCTTCAAATTCGGGAGGATGGGGTATGAATCCGAGGGGTGGTTCAGGCAATGATGTTGAAAAACACCGTCACTCAATTTCGCTAGACAATACACATATAACAATTAATTCAGCTGGCAGTCATACGCATAAAGTCGCAGGTCAAAGTGGCAGTACTGG